ATCAGCTATGATAACAAATAACTTATTCAATTGATGGCTATAATTCCAATCTCCCACCCACTTTGTCTTTCTCAAATCTCAATGCCTCTGCAATATAGCCTTGAGAACTTGAAGAACAGGTCAACTGTCTCTCCCTTGTTTGGGATTCAAAGTTTGCTGTAGGTTTTTTTCTATTTTCTATAAAAAGGGCAGACATGAAAGTAATTCAAAGCCTGAAGTCACTTTTGTCTCAGCTTCATTCTCAGAAATGGCTGAAGAATTTTTTACTACTTACTTTTCTTTCAAAAACAAATGTGGCCTGAAGCTAAACACCTGACATGCAGTGTTTCAGCACAAATGGTTAAAGCTCTGCAGAGCCACATGCAAGAGAAAACAGGGGCAGTAATAAAGCTGCCTGATGATGTCCAATTGGAAATCCTCGTGGCAGCCTAGCTTTTCATGCAGAGCAACTTACTGACATTCTCTCTCCATTCCTCTCCCTGATGACTCTCTCACTACACCTGGAAATTAGGAAGCTGACTGAGCTCCCTAAAAACTGGTCTGGTTAGCCCCAGTCACCCCTGCTCCAAAAGGGTGAAAGCAGACAGTGTTACGTCTCAGCAGATGAGGTCTGAGACTAAACTGGTGGAATTGGCAGCAAACATTAAAGGTACCTTTTTTCCTTGAGTCCAGTTGCTCTCATGGACCCTCATTCCAAAAGTCAAGAGAGATTTTCAATGCATTTTTGGGGTTGCTGACTTTAAGCCCACAGGATAAACTCCACTTGTGATTTTTCACAACTCAGAAAATGCGTGGAGAAAGGAAGCAGAAAAAACCTGAAATTCTCTCACAGTCACATAAGTCCAAGAGCCACAGCCTTAACACCACCAGCTTCCCATCTCATTAAGTGCCTTGCAATACTTGTTTTTGTAATCGTTTTCCATGCTGTCTACACAAAAAAAGTACCTCGGAAGCCAGAATAACTACATTCCTCAAACATGGACCCTTTCCAGACTCACCCCAAACCTTTCTGTGCTTAAGGTCCTATACACACATGAACACACAGCTCATTTACAGGCCCGGCAGTTAATTCACCTTCAAGTCTCCCTAATTTTGAGGCTGAACACTTCCTACACTTCTGTATCCCTGATGGCTGTCTGAGGGCAGGCAGGCTGCCCCTGCTTCCTCTGCATTCCCAGCTGGCAGGACAGGGCTGCAGTGCGGCCTACCTGTGCTGCCCTGCCCTGCCCACGCGGTGCCATCGCGGTGACCGCTGCGTGCGCAGGTTCCTTCTTCCCGAGAAACTCACACTGACAAACTGCCTGCCTTCCAGTTCTTCCTTTCCAACTTTTTTTTTTTTTTCTTTTTTTAAGACAAAGACACCTCCTCCTCCTCATTTCCTCATCACCTCCACTCAGAAAGCCTGAGGCTCGCTGATCCCACGGTAGATGGCAAGGCCTTTGAATCAGTCTGCTGGCTGGTCTGGGACCAGCCTCGGTAATGGTCACACAGGGCACACACCACAAAGCCTCTTCCAGAAACTTTAAAATCCAAAATGCAAATACTCCACCCATCACCTTGAATGCTGTCAGCCAATAAAAATGCTAATAAAAGAAGTCACAGTAGGAGAAGTCTCTGGCCTCCTGCCTGGGGTCTGACGACTGCAGGTTAAGTCCTTGGGAGGAAGGGATGTGATCCAGCCACTGCTGGAGGTTGCTTCCTCAGTCCCTCCAGCAGATCCTGCCCTATGGACCAGGCCCGGTATTCAGGGCCCTGGGTTCCTACATTTCTCAGGCATAACAAACAGTAATGGCAGAACACCACTCAAGAGCCACCCCAACTCAACAGTGACCGTGTCTTATCACCCTGCCACGATGCCACAGACATCCTGGGATTCAACACTCCCAGCTCAGAAGTACATCCTCTGTGACTACGTCAAAACAAACCCCGTTTTGGAAGGGTTTTAAGAACAAAAAGTCACAATTCTTCTAATTTCTGCACAAGGAACAAACCCTGCAATACCTGCCTTGTGTGCTTTGGGCCCTGGAAGTTGCCAGGAGCAGCTGAAGGATGGAGGGAGAAGGAAGATTTTTGTGATGAATCCTCTTTTCCGAAAGTTTTAGAAATAACTGTGTAATCACATAGATGCAATGCATTGCTCAAGTAAGTATGTAAACTCAGAATGGGAATTATTTTAAAATCAGAATGATTTAGGTTTTATATATATTTATTGTTTTGACTGCAAAGGATAAATGATCTCCTGTAATATAAAATTACTTTTCAACTTCAATATATAATTAACACAGGAATTGGTACCTTTACATCCTTCCTATGTATTTGTATCATAGACACAATGGCACAAACACAAGGATGCCTACCTGTAAGGTTCATAACCACACCTCTGCATTAAAAAGATTACTGAGCAGTCTAACAAAAGGGTGTTTACTTTTAGTGCACCCTGATTCTGTATCACTCAGCCCATTTGCAGTCTGTAACACTGATATCACTCAACTGATATTTACTGATATTTGGAGACAAAGGGACCCATGTTTCTCCCTCAATCAGATTTAATAAATCCACAAATGTCAAAACAAAACTAGTCAAGAGATAGAAGAATAAGGCCTTGGGATGCTATACTACTGTCTCCCATGTGGTTAATTTTGATGAGCTTGTTGAAGCACAGCCTTTAGCCAAGTCCTTTTTCACACAAACATCCATAGCTCAGAGACGATTAATCACCATTTATTACTCACCTTCTGGCAACGCCCACTCTAAGCTAGGCACCATCCAGACACATTAAGACAGACAGTCCCAGTCTGAAGGCTTTGTGGTAAAAGAAAGACATTTCTGAGACCCGATCCTGATGGAGAGATATCTACAGACCCCCGTGGTACTCAGCACAGCTACTGGGATCTGCCAGAATAAAGGTGCTCACAGGAACACTTAATCACAAATACCAATCTTTCAAAAAGGGACAAGGTACGTATGAAATACATCGGCTATACCTACTTTTCAGTACCTGTCAACTGCTACTGTACAAGTAAGCCTCGTGAAAGGATTTTGCTGAAGAAATAGGGTGAATCTTCACAGATTTATCGATCAGAGCCCCTCACTTGGTTACAGGAAAGTAGTTATTCTGCTCTTCTGCAGCATTAGTAACTTCTCAAACAAAGAAGCCTGATTGAGGCAGACAGTGAGGGGCTTATCAGCTTAGGAAATGGGAAGGATGGTCCAATTAACTGCCAAGCAGTCAGACATAATTCACTCTGACCAGGCCAATGAGAGACGAGTCCCAGAAATGCATGTCCTGTCCATTTATATAACACCCAAACATTCCCCCCTGCAACGGCTTCCCTTCTGGAAGCACTGCCTAAGTAAGGAGCAAGTCACTATAGGAGAATCCACCTGTATGGACCTGCATCTGATTAAGCAATCATCTCAGTGGTACAGGAGGCATTGCCAGTCGCTACACTGCTGAACTCAGGCACTAGCAGGCATCACCAAGCAGACAGCCAGAATGCTCTGAACAAGGTTATCTGGGGTCCACACCACTGTGCTGTCTTCTCACACATCAACGAACAGGACAACATGTAGAAGGCACAAAAAGGAAAAACTCCACCCTGGTGTAGGTAGGAAGGCTCCATCTCATTTTCCTGAGCTACTTCTGCCTAGCAGAGAAATAGTCAGAATGCTATTGAAGTAATTTCACAACGTTAAAAACAAACAAGCAAAAAAACCTGAAGGCAAACCGTATGTAAGAGCTGATTAATTGTGAATCCAGCCACAGTACTGCTCTTCACTTCCTCTGTCATGCTTAGTACTCGGCTAGCACAGGGTAAACAGAAAGAAGGCCAAGAGAAAGAGTAAGGGGAGAAATTCTACAAAAGATGCTAGAATGAAAAGAGTTCTCAGTCAACCAAAGCTCTAACTTGGGATCCATCACCTAGGATGAAGCAGGCATTTAAAGTTAAGAGGGGAGAAAAAAGAAAGAAAAAAACGTGTCCCCAAAACACTGATTAGTAAACACAAACAACTGATGTTTAGTGGAAGCATGGAACCCTTATTCTGCAAAAAAATGCGCATGTGGGACCTGGTCCATCCTTTGATAAGGTACCTTGTTTTGTGTAATCCTCTCAGTTTTCAAGTGCCAGACTTAAGACTGTCACAGTCAGAAAAACATGCTATGAGCAAGAGTGTAAAAAAACTCCAGTTGTGTGGAATATTTATGTTACATATGGCAACATCCTATTTGTCAGGCAGTTACCAGGAGCTAAGGAATCTGTGTGGTACCAGCAAATTCGCCTTGCAGCAGGGTGACAGAGCCAGCACAAACCAGACTATACATGGTATGTTTACTGAATGACTAGGCATAAACATGTTACAGAAGAAATGATGTCTTGTATTAGATGCTGGGCTTCCAGCTGCAAGGCAAGCCATCCTGCTGGGAAAGCAGTCTGTCACATATTCCTCATACACTTCTGGCTGTGGGTGCCCGTGAAACCTCTAGAAAACAGGAACAGGTTATGTGGCAAGTAATGATTAACAATGTGGAGGATCAGCCCTCCAAGCTCCACCCGCCAGCATTCCCTGTCTCCTTGCTGCTCTTCCTCCCCCGCTACTTTTCGGTTGGGACTGTTTGCAGGGTGAGCCGGCACAGGAGAGAAGGCACTCACAGGCACACGCTGCTGCCTCTGCCACAGGATGACGGGCACGGACAAGTGCATGCACCCTCTCTTTCTTAAGAAACAGCTGGCAGCAGGCAAGCGAGCACGGCAACCATCCGCCTGCCCCACGTCCAAACCCAGTGGCACAGGACTATTTCATAACGGGGGGGAGGGAGGGAAAATCCTGAAAGGGTAGAGGGAGGAGAGTGTACTGAAGATGCCTTAAAGCACAGAAGAAGGTTCGTATCTGGCTTCTGTGTCCTGCCTAACCTGTTTTGTGGCATGTTCCGGTTAACTCTCCTTTTGGTTGAGGTTGTTCGTTGTTTTTCTTTTGGCACCCAAAGCCAAGTTGCAGCCCCTTCTCTCCTCTGACTCCTTTCACGCTCCATCACACTCCAGTACAAACATGGGTACACAGAACGGAGACGCCAGAAAACAAAACGCTGAGTTCATCACAGACTGAAACTGGATGCAGTTTTTTTAGTGGAGGGAACGGGATCTTCCTTGCCAACTCACCAGGACCATCAGCCCTCACATGCCAGACTTCTCACCTTCATCACTGCTTTTTGACATTAGCAACTCATCAAAATAACCACACAAAGTGGTAAGGGGGTGGGAAAACAAAGTGATAAAAATCCCCAAACTTCAAAACATGCACCTGAAAGACTGCATGCTACACAAATCTAACCGGAGCTCAGTTTGGGAGCAGCAGCAGTGATCACAGCACCAGGACACACCATCACCACCACAGCAGATTTATGCCTTCACTGTGCACAGTATTCGCAGGATTAATGAGTAGCCCAAAGATCAGAAATAAACCTGCTAAGCAACAAAAGCATCAACTCCAAGCTGTGCCGGGTGGCTTTTGACAGGGGTTAAGCAGTCGGTAACCAGTGACAAGAACTTGGTAGTTCAGTAGCCATTTTAAGCAGCAGATATATTAATCATGGGAGTGCAGTAACAAAAGAACCAGGAGCAAAAGCATGCTTCAAAAACGAAGACACCTAAAAGCTCAGCAGCACACACATACCCCTCCATCATGTGTAAAATGAACTTAGAGAAGCCAGCAAGGAAGAAAGATTATTCCGTGACCTCCAGAGCACAGCAAATCCCTCAGAGCAATGAGTGCTAGGCATCAGAAACTTCCTGGTTTTCAGGCTGCTGTTTCACATGTTTTCTGGGGAGTTTGCATGCTGTGGGAAAGATTCCCAAGTACACTGAAAGCAAGCCTGCAACGTCCCCTTCCACTCCCACAGCAAGTATGCAGTCCATAAAAGATTAAAGTGTTAGAAACATATGCTTGAGCAAAGATTCCTCTTAAAAAAAAAAAAAAAACAAAAAAACACATCAACCATTGAGCAGTTGATTCATTTATCAAAATATTTTGCTATCCCCTTTTTAAGACAGTAAGGTGGGGGGAGGCAGGGAGATGGAGCAAGCGAGCAAGACCATGTAAGACACATGCAGTCTGTAACCTGAACACCATTTTACAGATGCATTTACTTACTATCCTGCTTTTCTTTGGGGGCTTCTCAGGCCAGGGTGGCTTTTGTCTCTGTGCTATATGCTAGCCAGCTCATAACAAATGAACAATCACAGAGTAAGCTGAGCTGGCTTCTCTGAATCTACTGGGATGCTGAGGCACGAAGATAGGCCTGACAAAACTTCTGTTCGATTATGAGCATGATCAATCTCTTTGGTCATGCATGCACCTGAAGTCTGGTACAATTATTAACTGTGCTGCAGTCACGTGAAAGAGAACAAGCTTCCCCCTCCCACCCTCATCCCACGGGTAACATTATGTGGGCAGTAAATATATGAACATGGTGAGGCTGGGGGGTGTGTGTGTGTAGAAACCTCCATAGAAAGGCTTCATTGCTGTACATTTTATTATTTCCTTTTGGTGGGTGACTTATGGACATTACAGACAAGCCTGACTGATGCCCAGACATGTCTGGGTACCCAAAGGAGAGTGAAGTGGGGAGTCCTCATCTCTACTGAGTGCTGCCTTCATTACAGAGGGAGAATCAAAGGTGTTTCCAATTTTCCCCAATTTTTAAACACTATGATGATGGAGCATGGAAGGTATTTTTACTAAAGCACAAATGACTGATTTCTAAACCGGTGGGCTTGCTTTCAAGGTGTTCTTATTTGTTGGAGGGGATTCAACAGGTATGAGAGAAGAGAGATGGGAAAGAGCACTGTGCTTATAAAGAGAAACTCTTGGCACTGAGACAAATGAGGTAGGCAGCGTTGACTAAAACCCTAAGCTGTGATTCAGCTGTTAGGACCAGAGTCTCATGGAGCCTCCCTGCTTTACAGCTTGCACTCACGTAGCTAAGAATGGAGATGGCACTTTCCAAAAGCTGCATTCCAGGACCGAGAGGGAAACGACAGAAAAAGAGCATTCAACCAGCATGGTACCCAACTAACACCCAACTCATGCACCTCTCAGACTGCCAGAGCGCTGCTGTGGCACTATTTTAGCTGTGAACCAAGCACCACAGGTGTGTGTGTGCCATAGAAACCTGAGCTCAGAATACTAACAACTGCAACCCTGCTGAGATGGAAGCTGTGCCTGGGGGATGTGCAGCCCCTCCGGCCTCCCTCAACACATCCTGGCCCAGCACAGCAGCCCCTCCCACACAGTGTTTCAGCTGAAAACAGTAAATTCTGCTGACCTTAGAAGGGGTGTAAGCAGGGCAGGTGGTGAGAAAGAGTGTCCGGTTTGGCATCAGATGACATTTCTTAGACATAATTAAAAATATAAAGCGCAGTGCATCTTTAAGTGGTTACAGCTATACAGTCACCAGCCCTGTGACACTGAATAAGAAAAGGTGGTAGTGGGGGAGATAAACAGGGGGTTGATGACAAAAAATAAAATACAAATGAGCACATTCTCTTTCAAAGTGCTACATGTATTTTCTGTTTAGTTATAATTGAATATGTCCCCAACAACACAACTACATTTGTAATATTACACCATGTATCCATTTTATAAGATATTTTAAAATGTGCTTTTGCCTAGGCCCATGTACACAAAATAATGAAGAAATATCACTCATCAGGAGCTCCCTAAGAAAAATAAACCTTAAAATAGCATGGTACGCTCACTGAGTAACATGTATTTCTGCAAAACTCCCATTCTTTATATATTTTGCATCTGAAAACTGCAAGTCTCACACGCGCACACACAAAAGACAGAACAGACTGCTGCTGTGGACAAAATGGTGCCATTTAATACAAAAATCTGGTTTATGCATAGCCTGGCTGTAGTGCATGCTGGGCCCAAGCAGAGTGGGATGCAGCCAGTTATATCGAACAGTTGTGCCCTCAGCAACAAATGGTGCATTCATAAAACTGGAAAAGCCTCTGTCTAGGGGATCGTAGCTCTGCAAAGGAAACAATTGCTTGCTGACATTTTCTGAGGGAGGATATGGCCAAAAGAGGTTGAGGGGGAGAAGTATGATCTACGGGAAAGTTATGTTCAGAAGAAATACCAAAATATAAGGGAAGAAAACCCAAATCTGTCACTGAGCTCCCTTTACATTCACCCTCCTTTAGCTAGTCTCTAACAAAAGAGCAAGGCCACCTGAAAAGACATGTGGTTGGAAAACACTTGGCCAGTCAAGAGTATAGAAGAAAAAGAAGAAAAGAAAAAGCTTTCTTGTAGAACGCTGGCCCATGAAGAAGCGACAGCCATCACGCAGGCTGCAGTACACAAAGCTGCATGTGACAGGCAGTTTCTCACAAGTTTCTTACCCTTGCCTTTATTAGCTATGCCACCTCCACACTGGTAACTAAAAGCCAACATCTGGTGCTAGCTAAATGTCACCACAGACAATCCCTTTAATAAAAATTTAAAGAGTCTGGGTCCCAACAAGGAAATCATTAGTGCTTTGAATGTAAGACCCTACGCGAGAGCTTCAAGACTGAAAAAATCCTGTCTTTTAAGCTGCCCAGAGCAGTAACTTTGGTGTGCACTAAGCCCCTTCTCCAGGCCCCTTGCCACCTCTGGGGATGCTCAGTTCACAGCTTCTGGCCCATGTGTAGCCCATCTGGACAGTTCAGCTGGTCAGGACGCTGTACTGGGAAGCCCAAACAGGTCTATGGATGCCCAGGTCTTGCTGCAGGATGGGAACATGCTGTCCAGTCTGCCCTTGGCCTAGAGAGCTCTGGCTCCTAAAGCTGAAATTCCAGACACTGCAATCAGCCTCAAATACACCTGGCATCTCTGAAAGCAAATCTGACCTGTCCCTAAAGTGCACAAGACACCACGCAAGTTGATGGAAAATGTGCTCCCTTTGGAACTAAGCAGTTAAGCAGCATGGCTTATTAATGAATACCTGTCACCTGCTCCATTCTACTGAGCCAAGTAATGAAGCAAAAAACTCCCACATCATACACCATAACTGAAGTTCAGTGGGAGAGTCAAACACTGAAAGAATTGAGTCCCACCTGCACAATGAAAGGAAATAAGAAACAACTCTCCCCAACCACTCCTGGCTGCTCTGAGGCTTTGGTAGGGCATGCACCCTATTTCCTCCTGGCGCTCATTCAACATAGAGGTCTCACATCTCATGCAATGAAAGTTTTCTCCTAAAAACTTATCTCGACAGTTTGGGAGAACTGACACTGGCTTCCACAGCCAAGGCAATCCCAGCTGAAGGAGAGGTAACTCAAATTTTGTGGCTGACAGAATGAGTCCCTCCATTATATTATCAAGAGAGTGTGTATTTTAATACATTATTAATGAGTCCTCTTGCACTGAAGCCTTTGCAATGGTATCTAAAAAGGGGATGCATGTAATTCTTCCTAACCCCAGTGCACCTAATAGTCACCTGAGAGCCTATTATGAAACCATTTCAGAGGTGAACAGGACTGTGGTCCCACAGACTGACAGCAAAAGTATTTTTCCACAGAGGTTTAAAAAAACCCAAGCAAGCAAGCAACCAACCAACCAAAAAAAGGCAAAACAGGATGACTTCTTCAAGAGAGAAAACGAGCCAGTCCTGCACCTCAGTGCCACAAGCAGCCAAAACCTGCAGGTCCACTGGACTCAAGGAAGAAACACTGTGAGCATGCATGGCAAGCTACAGTGGTGAGAACTGAGCCATAGCTATTGAGGCACGAAGAATCAATGGTAATGCTTTTGTTTATCAGCTGTGCACTGCAAATGATTGCTTTTGCAAGAAAGCTTGCACTGTAGTTGCATAAATAATTTCAATAAAACTGTATAAAAAGCCACTTCATTAATGCCGATTATCAACTGGAGACCTACAGCAAATGCAAAACTACAAAATCTTTTACAGACGCACCAAGACAATCTAAAAACTGTCTGACTTACTCCTTGGTCAGTTTCCAGGCAAGGCAAAAGTCTACACTACATGTAATGTTTTGTATATGCTCCCATTAAACCTGCCCTCTGCATTCTAGAAATCAAGTGGCACACTTTGGTTTCCCTCCATAGGCTTTACAAAGGCTTCTAATATAACACATGATCGACTTACTAGGAAATCGTTTGTTTGTTTTAAATTTGAAGAAGGCAGCGAAAACACCTGGGAAACTGTGGGAGAACATCAACAGAGTTGAAAAGAAAATTACATCTCAGCCTCCTGAAAAACTTTTATATAAAGCTCTTTGGAAAGTCTGTGAATAAGGGATGAAGAAAGAAGTACTCCATTTGAGAAATGTCCTTCCTTTGAACACTGAATCACAGAATACAAATCTCCGCATCACCTTGCAAAAGAAAAAGGAAAAAAAATCCTGCCTGAAATGTGTCACTTTTTTGCTGCTGTTTACTTTGTTTGTTTGTAGTGGTTTTGTAAAATCCCACAAATATTTCAGACTGAAACCACAGTCCATATTTTATATTTAGATGAACTATGGCATCTTTCAAGAATCTGTAATTGCAAGCCTGCATGTAAAGCCCTACCTCTGCCTGACCTGGGACCATGCAGCATCACAGAAGGGAGAACGTGAGCCACCACTGCAGCCCTGGTGGTGACCCTCCTCCATGCACTGGCCCAGCCACCCCTCAGCTCAGCTCCAGCAGGATGCAAGACTGAGTCCTTGCACCTCCCATGGTAAGGGATGGTTTTGAGTAGGATGCCTAATGTCTGTAGGTAAAATTTAAAACCAACAAAAAAGTCTCTTCCTTTCTTTCTTTTACTTCCCACCTGATCCAGGTGGAACAAACAGAATAGAATTTGCCTCTTGTGCTGATGCCTCCAGTATCAGGCCTGATTTAAATCAATATAAAATGCAGTAGGGAAAGGAGCCTGAAGGTTTCTAACCGGGTGCATTGAACACCATGACCTCCTCACACCCCCGCCCCACAAATGCTTAACTGCTGAATGAAATTCCTCTCGTTTCCTGCACTGAATCATCTGTGTCACCACAAAGATGAGATATTTAACTGTGCGCACACGTTTCTGATTTGAGGGGCATGCAGTGTAGGGTGTTTCTCAAACTACTGTCAGACTAGCCACACACGGTTTGGATTTCTTCTGTGTTTGATGTACCATTTAACTAAATCTGTGTTTTTCCAATGAGGTACAACCTTTCAGTGATGCTGTTTTCTAGGAAATATGTAGGTGAATGCTGCTGCTTCTTTTGCAAAGTATTATTTGAATGGAGCTAGGAGGGACAGGATATGCTGATTTGCACAATTAAAAATAACTTACAATTTGAACTGTGGCATCAGATGCTTCAACAAATTTCATTAGGGCAGATTACATGCTCTTTTCAAAATGCCTTTTTTTCCAGACCTCAACCTAAAATAATTTCATTAATTTACCCACAAATTACCTCATTTTCATTGCTAAGCTGATAAACTATTTTTTAATCACTACAGCAATTCATTCTGCAGAAAAGTCAGCAGCTCTGTAGCCCTCAAATGCAATAAAGAAACATCCAAGTCACCCAAGAGAAAGAAAGGTGAGGCAAAATGCTAAACCACAGTTCCATGACCACCTTTCCTAACCAGGATGGCTTTGCATCATTGCAGGCATAGAGGGGAGGAAACTGTGATCTCTGTTTGGCTGTGCACCGCCAAAGTCAGTGGGATCTTTGTGGATGCTGGGTGGGAACAGGCCCCTACAAATATGCAACAAGCAATAGCAAAGCTTATACTCTGCTCCAGATTGATCCGAGTCACGAGGAGCTCAAGCTGTCAGTCAGCAAGAGTGCAAGGAGGGCTGATTGTTCTGGTCAACTCACTGGAGCAGAAGAAAAATTTAAGATGCACATCCTCCTTGCAGTACTCCCACACACTCTCACCCAGATGAAAGCTTAAGGACAAAAATCGTATTTTCACACAGGCCTATTTTTTCCACAAAGTGTTGTCAACCTTCTCCAGCCCTTATTTTAATAAAGGAAAACCTACCATCCTTTTGACCTTGGACTTGTTCATTTTCTCTGTTTCTCTCAGTACATGCTCTTTGCTAACCATTCAGCATGCTGTGAGCCCTGATAAAAGTGGTTAATGTTTACTGAAACCTGCGTATGAACTGTACTAAACCTGATGCAGAGGGAGGCAAAGTTCTGCTAGCAGCATCCATGACCAATTAAAAAGAAGTGTTAGCTTGTTTTTCTTTTTAAACTCATCCCCCCCTGCTAAACAGCTGCATGAGTAGATGGGCAGGCAGCTCAGGAAGAAGACTGAAAAAATTCTTCTAGTCCATCCACCTAGACACTTCAAAATAAGTCCCTTTTCTGACTACCACAAGTCTTTCAAGAACACACAAAAGGAATGAAAGAACCACTGGGGTTCTCTTTCTGGAGGATGCATACTTTATCCCTAAATAATTGTTTTCCAAAACAGTCTGAAAACCTACAAGTCTAGCAGAACTGTTGAGTGTTTCCTTTCAGGTTTCCCTGTAGATGTGTATGGACACATGGCTTGAGCAGTCTTCAAAACATTGCATCCATTAAGTGAAAAAGCAGAATATTACTACTATAAACTCTAACTACAACTAACAGTTGATCAGTATTATTCAGAGACTAAATTTACCGTAATTTCTTCTCAGCAGAGACAGAAACAATCAGCAGTTTCAACAGCTGTACTTGTGCACTGTTTAGGAACAATGTTTTTAAAGCATAGACTAAATGTTTGCATTGCCCCTTCTTAGCTTACTGGCATTTCCTCCATCTGTATTGTAATATCCAGTCCAGAGAGCTCTTACAGACAGCTCCTGCCTTCCTCCCTCTGTCTGGTGGCAGTGGGATGCTCTCAGGTGTTTAATGACAATTTTTTTTTTTTTGTACTAGAGGGCAGCAACAGTGCCGCAGTCACCTTGGAAACAACCATCACCCACTGTTTGCAGAACAAACAATGGTACCTTTTCAGCCAGCACAAGGCAGGCAGGGCAAGGGGCAGCCAAGCAATTCTGGGACTTACAGGAGTGTTAACATATTGCATTCATTCAGTGCGTCAAAAAATAGTTCAGCACGAGGAGCAAGGCACTCTCAAAGTGAGAGCCTTTGGCTGCAAACCACAGACAAGTGCACAGGGCTCAGAAGGTCGAACAAGTCTCCCCAGTCAGCAACGAGGTCTTTTCCTCTCATTTTTTTACTTGCCCTCCTGTTCCCCTCTCTCATACACACAGAAGGAAGAAAAACACACCTATTTAAACTGATCTTATCCACGAAAAGTCAAGTGTTCAGCTTCCAAGTAGCACTCTCTGAAGTTTTCTCAGTGTGCCAAAATATTTTAAAGAACTGTTTACCCGCACTTGTAGTGCTTTGTACCCAATGCATCAAGAGCCGTTTCCAGAAGCGTTCCTTGTGAAGTTAGTGAGGATTGCGGTTATTCAGCATTTCAGACCGTATGCCTAAGCACTCGAACAGTTATATGCCCCTCTCTTCTCAAAATAATTCCATTTCCAGAGAGACAGTCTGCCTGCTTTAAAATACAGATGATGTACATCTGGCTCTACACTAACTTCTCAATGTCTTACTATCTTCTGGAGACTTTTTTCTCTCCTCAGAAAGAAAAAAAACAAAAACCCAGCACCAAGGAAGCCTTTTTTACCTGCAATAACCATGGGCAAAAGCTAAATATTTAAGGATTCAAGTTTTATCAATTTAAACACACTCTCACAAAGTGCTTCGCTCTTGTGGCCTGTCGCAAGTGGAGTATTTAAAGCAGAATGGAGATCGAGGTGTCACTCGAGTCCTTTAGCACTTTACAATCTTCCCACACTGGCTTGCAGACACCTACATTGCTGAGAGCAAACTGACAGCAGTCCAGCTGCCCAGCTCGTCCTTGTGGCCACTTGGCAAAGGACTGCAAGGCCATAGAAAACCACACTGCTGCTTGACTCGTGCATAAAAGGGCGTCCAGGTGTGCTGTGAAGGAGTGCCAGGCACAACACACCCAGCTGAGAACTGCACCGAGGTGATGAGAGCTGTACAAAGGTACAACAAAGCAGCTCTTGGGCGAGATCTGTAGATTTCCACATCACAATATAAACACTTTTCTTTAGCCTTCACTCATCTTTCACAGCACACTCAGCTTTGGCAAAATAAAAAGGAAAAAAAAAAAGGCAAATCACTTTTAGACCATCAGAAACACCGACTGGTGCTGTCCTGCAAACTAAAGCCTCCAGCAAACTTGTCCTCCATCTGGGCTGGACAGGTTCACTCACGACTACAACCATGGTAGCTCAGTTGAGTCAGACTAACATTACTAAAAACCTACCTTAATGTTCATTAAGATGCAGGTTAACACATTAACTGGTCTTGCACAGCCACAAACACAGCTTTGGACATGGTAAGCTGTACCTTAAGGAGCATCAAGAGAGCTTTTTTTTTTTTTTTTAATTGTGTTCGGCTAACTCAGTTGACCTCAAACAATTGAGACACACACCCTTTTTGCCTGTCAGGACAGGGTCCTTCTCTGTCTTGCACTGCTGGGACAGGAGAAGTGAAATATGTATGGAGGTGATTCACGTAAAACCCATCCTTCACTTACTCCTAATAGGGGGTGGAGGGGAAGGAAGCATATGGGTGAAAAGCCGCAGCTGTTCCAAGGCTGTTCCAACTTTACAGCACACGATTTATGGAAAACAAAACAAGAGGAGCAGAAAAATAGGATTTGAATATTACCGACCTAAAAGAATCGTTGTAAATACCTCCTGCTCTGTGCAAGGGCTACCCTGGGCTCCATCTGCCTTCAAGGCCGAGAAAGGAAACATTAAACTTGAATAGCAGCCAGGATTCACTGTCTGCTTCCTAACATGCTTAGATGGGGCAGTCTCTACCTGTGGCAGAGCACAGGGAGGGCACTGCCCAAGCCTCGCTCCTGCTCTGCACTTGGCACTGTCACTGCGTTCCAGAGCCTGGCCAAGGGGCAAACACAGCTCTGCCCTGCCAGGGCTGCCTTCTGCCCCAGCATCTGCAACCAGCTCCGAGCTGGGATGGGAGCACCTTCCTCGTACCCCAGCAGCCTGCCCTGGCAATTTTGGCAGAGCCACGTGCTCCAGAGGGCTCTGAAGTCGGACGGGAACACACTCTTGCACAGGACAGGCTTCCAGCTGGGGCTGCGGCTGCTACTCAGTGGTGGCACCGCACCACTGCCCAAAAAGGGATGCAGGCACATCCCCTCTCCTCGGGCATCACGGCCAAAACTCCCCGTGGCCGTGGCCAGGGGACCCAAGCCTCCGTGCCACGAGGGCGAGGGAGCAGCAGCGGCTGCAGCAGGGCCAGCCCTTCCCTCCCTCCCTCCCTTCCCCCCGCGCAGCCGCCCCCACCCTCCAGGAGCTCTATCGCAAATCCCCAGGCCGCGCCGACTGCCAGCTGACAGAACTGTTTAGTCAGCAACCAGCGAGAGAGGAGCGGCCGCCCCCCTCCATCCTTCCCGGCTCCTTCCCGTGGTACAGCAGCGCCAGGGAAAGAAACACTCTCTTGCCCCCCAACCCCTCCCCAAAACGGTGAATGCACGAAGTATTAGCATTTCCGAAAAGTTTGTCGAGCTTTGCACGTAGCTGAAGGATCCGAGTTGTTGTTTTGCTTCTTTTTTTTTTTTTTTTTTTTTTTCCCACCTCCTCCCCTCGCGGTGCTTTGTATAACCCTCTTTGACCACGCTGCCCCATCCCCCAGGCGAGAGGAGATCCAGAAGCGCTGCTGCTGGTGCAGAGGAACTTCCTCCATTTGCTGTGAGAACATCACTCCGGCGGCCCCGCGCCCCGCGCCGCCCCGCAGAGGAAGTGCAACATAATAGCCAGGCCCCAGGTGCCAAGGTTAGCCTGTCCTTTTCCTCTCCCCGGGATGATTTCCACTCCTTTCAATACCAGCCTCCCCTAGAGCCAGGCCTTTAAAGCTACGTGTTAAAGTCACGAACAACAGCAGCAGCGACAACAAGAACAAAGCTGAAACCTGCTCGAGCAGCACCATACGGCCTTTGCACACCAGAATTTACACGAAAGGTTGAACATTTTCTACGAAGCGAAAAGTCTGTTTCATCCGTGCACTAGACAGCTGAACAACTTTACCCGTACTTTTCTAAGTCAGCGCAGTACCACCAGCGCATGGAACTGCCCGTGCTGGCGTTCTCTGCTTGCCCAGGGCAGATGTAACAACCACAGCAATACAAATGTCTCGGCCGAAAGGAAAACCGCATCTCAGGCTGGGCTGCAATAATGAAAACCCTGGGCAAAAGGCATGGATTTAGTCTACAAGGAAGATGGAGATCAGCACCCAAACCCTGTTTCTCAGAGCCCTGCGTACACAGTTTCCATTCTCTATTCTGACTACACCTGCATAACTGAAGACACAAAGTAATTTTTAAAAACTAGGTTTTAATGGAAAGTCTCACAGTGTCTTACTACACTTTTCCCTTTTCAGTTTGCTTGCTCGGTACAAAAGCATGCATCTGCTTCCTCCAAAATGCAAAAACTCAGTGTTGGAGGGAAGCTCTTACACTGGCGCATCTCACAAAATCCTCTGCCTTCCCAGGTGGAACAAGGGGAGATAAAAAGGTGTAACTATGCCCTAGGTGTTATGATGTTATCCATAATTTATGCAGAAACAAAATGTCCCATACTGACATCCCTGTAACAAAGCATTTATTTGCCTTATACGAAAGTGTTTCATGGCAAAAAAGTGAAGTCTCTCCACAACAAAATACATGCATGCATTCTTTTTTGCCTTTCCTCCCAGCTGGGTATCCATGCAACTGGCTCCAATTAATTTGATTACTAAACTACAGAACTGAGGAAAGTGAAGAGTTAGCAACCTGTCTCAGTTTATCATACAGTGAATATAAGGAGTTACTGAAAGGAAAAAAACTGACCCTACAGTCTCCATAACTAAGCAATGGTGAGGACTGAAATTCTCTATAAAATCACATTTTAAGTTCAGAACCCCTTAATTCTTTCTTCCACGTTTCAGTGCTAAAACTTCACATTCTACACAGGCTGCCTGCTGCCAAGAGATAGACAGCTGCAACACGTAGACACAAAAAGGAGGTGTCTTTTGGCTGGAGTTTTAGATTTCTACATGCTGCCCTGTTTTATATGCTACTCCCCCAAACAGTTACAAAAAAATAACTGCAGAAATCTAAAAACAACTGGGACTATCGTAACCGAAGATAGCTACTGATAGAGCCTGTATTGAATGTGCAGATGCCATAAGGCCCTTTCACAGGCCACGTTCGTCTGCAACAAGATAATTTTCTTGGAAATGTGCTGCTACAGTCTTTGTATTTACTTGGCTTATAGCTTATGTTTAGTTTCCTATCTTATAATAGAAGCCTGGTCATTCCAACAAAACCTACATCAGTGTTCACTCTTATTTTCCTTAAGCTGGTATTTCTGGGCTGTGATTGATACTCTGCCCCTAGCTACTCAAACCAACTTCTTCGACAAAAGACACACCAACACTGGAAAAACTGCACCAGATTTGTACCAGCCCAGTCAGAACAAAACCTGGACCAAAATCTTACATGATGAAACATGATCTCCTTACACAATATCAAGCATGATTAAGAAAGATACTCTCTCAAGATGGAAATTAATTTGGAAACATAAAGAACAGCTAAAGGAGACCTGATTTCCAGATTTTTTTTACACAGCTAGTGCAGTAACAAGATTTACATCAAGAGAGAAAACAAAGCATGTGTGACAAGGTGGGAAGATGAGACTATCTTTGCAGCCAAAACTCTCAAGCCTCTTGATAAAAACAACACGTAGCTTTGTGCTGCTTTTACTGAGAGTCAACATCTCTCCAAAAGCTCTTCCCATCCTTCAGTTGCTCATTCCCATGCAAGGGAAAGCCTATGATTTGCCTCCCCTTTACTGTTCAAAACAAAAGTTGGTGAGGTATGATTGTCTGAATACACAAAAAATTAAAGAGGACTGGCTACTCAGAACATTTTAGAGATAAGGCTTACAGTGAAACCCCACTAACCCTTGTATCAGCATCTCAGAAGATTACAACAGCAGGAGCGAACTGCTAGAGGTGAGGGGGTAAACAAATTACAAAAAAAAAAAAAAACAAACCCAAACAACCAAACCTCTTCAAGCTGGTTTTGCTGCTTCTTCATCCCATGATGTCAAATGCCCATTTAGGTTGCCAAGGAAAGCATTCTGAAGTCACTAATTCAGCGTCATTATGAATTTTTTTAGTTACCAAGGGAAAGCTTGGGAGGAAATACCTAAATATCAAAAGACTCTAGAAAAAATGCATCTTCAAAGAGATAAAACACATCAAGAACAGATCTCCATTGAGATTTTTCCTTTTCATTGTTTGCAGTCAAATACCTGGAAGAATACTTGCCTTGAAGTGGTGGAGAGAAGATGCTTGAATAGAAGTGGTGTTAAACACAACCTTTAAAGGCAAACACCACAATGCACCTGAAAGACAGGGGCAAGTGGGAAAAGGAAAAGCGGAGGGACTGGGGAAAGTGGCTCTATTAACAAAAGCCTGCCACTCTTACAGTTACTGGAATCACAGCAGAGATACCCATGAACTGGCAGTAGCCATGGACGGGATGTTCAGTCTCACCTTCAAGTAGGCTGGAAGCCAGAGGGCAGGTAAGAGCCTATATGATAAAAATGAACCATTTTTAAAACAATGCAAAAGGGTTGTGCTGGTTTTTCAATATCACAACTCCAAGACAGCAAAGATACTAAGCAAAACATACACAGGAGATGCAGTTCCAATATACAAGGACAAATACAACAGACATTGCTGATCACCCCTCATCCATGGAGCAAGCTTGAATTAGGCTCTGTCTACAGGAATTCACTAACCTAGCAGCACTGATTCCAGGATCAAGGATCCATCCTAGCAGATAATGCATCTTGTTGCATCCATGTTTGATTCGAGAACCTTGCAAAGACAAACTGGAAAAAGGCATTCCACTTGATTCTACCACTTTTCATCCTGGTGTTTGCTTCACTAGGAAGACACGATGGTTTTGATGGTTTGAGCAATGGTCTTTTTAATAATGGTTGCCTAGCCTGTTAAAATCTGTTCTACCTGCATTGCAGTCAGAAGTCCTGTCATCCTTTGTTCTTCTCCCACCTCCTTCTGCCAGCACAACTACATCAGCTGCACAGTAAGTCTGTTAAGAGAACTGACTGAGCCAAAACTGAACTTTCAAAAGACAGAGGAACAAACACAAAAAGTCCTTACCAGCTTTCTGGCCTAGCACTTTAAGGCATACCTTTAAGATATTTAAAATATTTATTATTTTGAATACATACCCCAAGAAAACAAGCAGTCAAGAAAATACTTCTAATTAAAGCAACATAAACATGCTCTCCTGCTTACACATACACAATGACTTTATTTTATGTTTATTTTTAGGTTTTCCTGATCTAACACCCAAGAGCAGTGAGACACCTGCAAAGCATAGGCCACGCTAGGGCTCCATTCCTTGTTCCTCACATGACCTTTATGATATTAAATTTAAACTTAAGCTACTAAATGCATAGAGCAGCAGCAGAGCAATACAAGAGGAGCTCTGAATTCAACAATCAGACCTATAACCACTTGATAGTTTAAAAGAACAGCCTCTGCTTCCTTTCTCCAAACACATATGCTTGATACTTTCAAATACTATATAATTCACAAAGTCTACAGAGCTCAGTAATAAGTGCTGAACAGCTTATTTACACACAGCAACCTTCAAAGATTATCATCATAAATCAGTACTACCTGATGAACAGGACTTGTTTCTCCTAAGACCACTACATTTCACCAGTCCTGAGAGGCTTCATATAGGGAGTAAGAAATCTAGATAAAATTAAGTTCTCACTGTGACAGGTTTTCCTTACCAGAAGGTTTCAAATCACTAGTGTCACCCTTGCAACTAAGCTCCCAGTTCAGGCAAGTTGGAATAAAGTTTTAAACAGCTAAACACAAATCAAGTAGTACACATAATTTGGTGGGCAGGTTAAGGTAGAGCTTTAAAAGGCAAGGTTCCTTTTTAGGCCATGTCAGCAGTGAAGAATGTGCAGCACACAGAGGAAGAAAGGGGTTAGCACGACCTGATCTAAACCTCTCCTTCCTCACTCTCCACAAGCGGCAGCATTTCAGCAGCCTTGTAAGCACTGATTTGTAAAGCAATCTAACTAAGTAAATACTAGCACTATGGCTAGTACTGAAGCAAAATTGTTTCAGTTGCAAAAAATAAAATCTCAAAGTCCACCAACATGGACTAGTCAGTCCTACAGGTGGAGAAGTGGGTTCTCAACTAGCAAATATTAAAAAAGGGATGGAAACACAGTAGAATTGCAGAATATGCTAATTTTTCTTCAGCAAGCTCAAAGAATTCCTCTGATACTGGCCAAAAATAAACTGAATCCTAGTCATCACCCCAAATGAGGAGGCGAGCATAGGAAGTGGGCAAACTTTATTGTGGGTAATATCTCTCTGTTTAAGTAGAACCTAAAGAAACACCCAGAGCAAGGACAAATGTCCCTTGTCTCTGGTAAGCTGTGTTCACCAAGGTTTCAGATATATAGGGCATGCTTCAGGCTGCCATTTGTAGGGAGGAAGCAGGGGGGGCATATTAAGTGGGGGGATACAGGGTCATTGCTCATGGAAACCAGCAGTATATCTAGGAAGGAAAATGGCAAGAAAAGAGTAATTTAAACAGGCAGTTTTCAAGCAATCAGGTTGGAAGTAACTGAGCCAGACCTGCAAACAACCTCACCAATCAGCATCTTCTGATTGCAACATGCTAACATGGAGAAAGTTTCACAAAAAAGCTGCTGCAGAATCATGGCAGCACCTGGAAATCTTTAAAGCCTGTCCAAGTATATGTCTTACAGCAATAAATATCTAGGCAAATAAAGTATTTTTGGCATGTGCCTGTGATAGATGTTAACAAGGCAAACCAAAGCTTTAAAAAGCTTTTGATGAACGTTGATGATGAACATTGTAAAAAGCCAGAAGTATGGAACAGTTTCTGCAAAATAATGGTACTCAGATTAGGACTCCAACCTGGGAGAAAGGCCACAGAGGTGATACAGCAATTGTCCAGAAAGGTGTGGAGAATGTTGGTAGCGAATGAATACTAACTATTTCCCTTAGTACAAGTCCTAAATGGTATTAAGTGAAAGCATAAAATGAGAGGTTTAGAAAATCAGTTTTTCACCTCCTCTCCAACAGAACATACAGATAAACTGCAAAACTCACCATCACAACATACCAAGAGTCAGTACAGGTTCAAAAAGCCACTGGACAAACTCACAAAAAAAGGATTCTTGAATCTAAATACTGTAACTACATAAATACCCCTTGGCTCAAGGAATTCCAGAAGCTGTATGTTGTGGCAGAGTACATTAGGAAAGCGTCATTAATAGGCGCCCTCTTGCCATACTCTTTAGATAAATCCACACTGACCAGTATCTTGGGCATGACAAGCTTTGGGTCTGACTCGGTATTAAGACACAATCAGGACTCCCTCTGGTTTTTGGTTTTGCAGGCAAAAAACACAGCATGACCACAGAATTTAGCACAGACCTAAAGCACCTCCTGCAACAGATCCAGAGGCATTTCTGTCAGCTTGAGGAGGCATTCTCTGCTCTGAATCCAAGCTTCACTGAAGAAGCAGGTACCAGGAACTGCTCATTCCAGGACAGGGCAGTCCTGAGGCAATGTCAAAAGAGCCACAGCTTCAACATGATTCAGGTCAGGGTGATTTCAGAGGTTACAGTACCAGGGCTGTCATCCCTGTCTGACGGCCAGTGGTTACTGTGCTTGCAGCAGAGACACGTCCAACTCCAGAGATGCCCATAATTGAAGTTTTAACTGCCACTCAATTCAATTCAAACACAGCAAACTCTGAAATGCTCTCCTTGGGAGGAGACACATCCACCCTTCTGCCTCCTCTGCAATATAAACCAAACCCTTCATCCGGGGTCAGAGCCAAACAGCAGGACAAGAAACCTTCGGAAAAAAATTAAGTTTTTTCTGCACCAAACATCTGCCTGAAGTTCTCACCCAGCCAGTGAATACAGGCATGCTTACTTCCAGGCCTTTGGATACTGTCCCTTTGGATAGGGACAGTAGTTAGAGGCTCACTTGTAGACCACCTCCACCAGAAGAGCCCAGCACAAAGCCAGGCCTCTTGTTGGTACTGCCACAAGCCATATTAACTTGTTGCCTTCAATATGCATCCAGCAGGGTTCAGGTCATGGATTTGTTGGAAGTTCATCACTTATTCAGGCTTTTGTGTGAGAGGTCAGTGCTGTCAAACTGTCTGCTTTCACAAGCACAAAAGCTCATGTTAAAATGTAAATACTTACAGGTGTTCCACCAGGCACTCAAGATGAAAGTCAGAGCAAATATATTAGTCCTAGCTGTATTTTACAATGCTGGTAGTACTTGGATGTCATCTGTTTGTGAACCAAGGTTTTTATGTGGGTTCATCTGCCTAGACAGGAAGCATGATCTAATGGTGGAGACACAGGACTGGATTCACAGCATTTGGGTTCTTTTTCTGCCTCTCTTACTGTCTCCCTCTGTGACCTTCAATAAAGAAATTCTTCATGCCACTGTCCCAATTGAAAAGAATGTGACTAGATGCTTACTCGGCCACGTATGAGGGCTGTGACCCTCTGTCACGTTTCCTAATTACTACCAGAATTCTGGAATTATACAGGAAAAGTTAATCCAACTGGTAAAGTTAACCTGAGTTAAGAAAAAGCAAGAGCCTTATAAAAGAGCACAACACCCTCCTCCCCCAACGCCTGTATTTCACTGTTTGTTTTTCAAGACGGAATCTCTGCAACTTATTATTACATCGCCCTTGATGGAGACAGCATTTTGCAAATTCAGCTTTGCAAGAAGCCCGGGTAGGCTGGCTCACCCCTGTCGCCTAGATTTGCGTGCTGCTTACCACTTTGCAAGCTATTCAAGCACGACTTCTGTGTTGGGATAACACCACAAGACTAGCAGCAGGACTATGCTGGCACAGGCCTACTGGGAAAATCAACTCCCCAGCTGTGGGAAGAAGCAAAGCCGGCAGAGGCTGCAATCACCACGTCACCCTGGAATCCAGTTTCATGTCCAGTCCAACCTCGTTCTGTGACTGAGCTGCAGAGTTCTGGAAAAGCTGGTATCCTCTTCCCTCAGCACTTCCAGCTACACGTCAGATTCTCTTGTGACTTCTGGAAACTGCTATGTTAGCTATTAAACTGGAAAAAGCCATCTTTGGCCTGAGAGGAACTCACATTCATCCAGTTCAGTACCTATGACAGGGGTAATTTTGCACTGCGCATCCCACACCAGGGAAGTCATGAGACAGGGCCCCCCCGCCCTTAACCATGCAGAGGCATCTCCATCAGGGAACCTGGTTAGCAACATACCAGAAAAGGCAGCTTCGGTAAACCTCACGGGTGACACAAAGTGCCGTCTGTCTCTCTGGAACAACCAAGGGGAGTGGAAGGAAGCTGCGAACAACTGTGTTCTTCTGATGTGCATTCCCTTCCTCTGCTCGAGCACACGCAGGAGGCCAAGTCAGCACACATGACATACTCCCTGCAGGATGCCACATCCTGCCATACTTCATACAGCATCCCAAGGCAAGCCAGATACTTTTCAAACACAGTATGATCTTTGACAGTATGATCTGTCACAGTGTGACAGGTTCTCAGAGACAACATAGGGACAAAGGAGGGAACAGCACTGACAGATTTATCCAACACTGCTGAACTGTTCCTAGCCACGTTTCTCTTAGAAGGAAAAATCCCAAGCAAACAGACACACTGCAGCCACATGCAAATTTTACAATGCATATTCCTTCTGCTCTTTGCTTTTGGTAACTTGTTTTAGTTTTATGAATTTCTCATAACTCTCACTCACCCAAACCCTTCCCAATCCTATAGAAAGTAGAGGTCTGTTTAGAAGAGGGGGATGAAAAAAAGAACCGTGGAGGTGGTTTTATGTACTGCTTAACCCCCTGAAGCTTTGCTTTCCCAGCCTTGCTCCCTGTCACCCCCCACACACGCTGCTGTGTTTTAAGGAGCGCTGGTTATGCTGACATCAGTGAGGCTCCGGGGGCCATCTAGGCAGCTGTTCCTGCTCCTGTGTGTGGCCACAAGCCAAATCACTCTGCCTTTTTGGTGATGTTCCCTCCTGCTGGCTACCCCCACTCCCGCCCACATGTCTGCAGATGGGGCAAGGTGGCCACTGGCAGCCTCTCCAAAGAAACTTAAGTGGGAAAAAAAGACTGGCAGCTTTCATTTATTTCCAGCCTACGGTCAGAAATGCTCAGTGATTTTTGACAGCGTGCTGTTGAATGAAAGAACTGCAGCTTCTCTTCCCGGAGAGCCAAAGACCGAGTTGCCCTTAGGACTTTGTCACCTAGAGGAGAACACGTGCTCTGCCCTTCCTCTCCCCATATGCAGGGACAGCCCACCAGCATCAAGAGACCGCTCTGCACAGCTGTTCCCCTGTTTTAAAGCAGACCCATCCATGGAGGCAGCTATTCTCCAGCCAAATTATGATAGCAGAGGAGCAGAAAGCTCGTCCAGATCGACCCAAGTGCACAAGACGGGTGCAAGAGGTCTTCCAGGCGCAGGAAAGGGGAGCCAGTGCAGCACTTTTTCCTTCCCTCTACTGCTCCCAGCAAGGGCAGGAAGCAGTGCGAGGGCAAGAGAGTTGTGCCAGGCCTCTCGGCCCGGCCAGTCCCATGCAGGCAGGTTTTAGGCAGCTGGCTCTCTGTAGCCAGTAATCCCAGCGGCAGGGTGCATCCCCGTGCTGAGCCACAGCCAGATCCGGGGAGTGAAAAGGTGACAGCCAAGCCAACTTCACATACACCCTCAGAGCCTGCAGCTCAGACCCCATGTCAAGATTAGGAAAGTATGCGCACACAGAGAGCACATGAGCTGCTGGAGTACTTTCATTTAACTCTTGCACACACAGTGAATTGAAGAAGTTTGGGTTCATGGCCACGTTTCTGGCCACTTCTCTTCAAAACCAACTCTGCTCAGGCTGCAACAGCTGCAACAATTCCTTGGGCTGAGCAATGACTCCTGAAGAAGTTCAGAAGTTGGTGAGAGGAGTTTGGAGCTGTGGCTCACATGGGTTAAAGATTCTGGCTTGTGTCATGATACTTTTTCTGAAAGTTAAAGGCAGGCCCCAATCCCGAAATACTTCGCCTAACTTTTGCCTATGCCAGTAGTTTGACTTTAAAGGAACAACTTGCTTAAGTAGAATTATATCTGTGTTTAAAGTGTCTGCAGGATCAGTGCTTGGCTCGATCTAGACTTGCTGCTGACATACGCGTGCACACACAACATCCCCCCTAAGCAAATTCAGAGAATACCTTGAGAGCTGTCAGGATAAGACAAAAAAAATAAGGATAAAGATGGTAACCCCCACCAAGGCACATGTATCTATGTTGGAGGATGATTCACCAGGGCAGGAAAAATAGAGATGCCTGAGGGCTATGGCTGGAAGCACAAGAAAGGTCCCTAATACTCAAGTTTATCTGGGCAAAGGGGAGTCCCAAAACCAAACAGGTTTGTACACTATCAGTACCAGAAACACTGATAATTCTGGGAGTCATGCTTTTAGTCTTATCTCTTCTAAATAATAAGAATTTAGGTACTGTAATGTTAGCAATCCTATAATGCAAAGAAACACTCCTTCAGCCACAAAACAAACTCGATTCCTTACTTCTCTGTACCGAGCACAGAAGCAGCACACAGAAACACAAGTTTCCCTGGAACAAACCAGTCAAATTCATTCAAATCTTCCCGAAGCAAAACAGGGCAGAACCCATTCCTGTTCCCAGAGCTTATTACAGTAACATGACTAAACATGCTCAGCAGTCCAATGTGATAGGATGCATCCATTTGCTGATGCCAGAGGAAGATGCGTGTCTCTTCTACATGGCACTGCTCTCACAGGCTGCTTTTCAAAAGATGTTTTGAAAAGCGACCTGCTGCGTACATTCTTAACAAGTCATAGTATCACCGGCTGTACAAGTGTTTGACCTCTACTTGCTATGCACTGTGGACAAAAATCTGACATCAGCTTATTCCAACCTTAGTAACACCAAACTGCTTCTGCAAAGCTGGCTGGAACAGACTATAACAACGCACCGATAAACTCCCAGACAGACCCCTGGAGTGCTGAAAGTGCAACTAGTTTAGTACATGAGCCCATGTGTTTTAAATTTGGGTTGGTTTAATCCAAGTAAGTAACCTGATTAAAATGGGAGTCTTCTCTGGAGGTCTAATTTCTAGATGTTTCCATTACTCCATATGCTTTTATGCTGTATAAACATAATGAATGATACATACATCACTTTTGGGATGATTTAAGAATTCAGTTTAACACTACAACACAAGTCATTCAAGGCAACAGAATTAAATTACTTTGTGAATGGTAAGAGCTAGTAACTGCACTTCATTTCAGTCTTGGGAAGGTGACTGAGGGAGTGATACCTTTTTATTCCCAGTTTCTTCTTCTAATTTCCTAATTTCAGAACTCTAACATTTGTCCCTTTTACATACAGACTTGAAGTAAAAAGGAGAGAAAAGGATGTGATGTGACTGATGGTTTAGAACACATATTAAAGCTAGGAACGTATTTGCTTCTAAACCAAACAACGAGAGGCAGACTCCTGAACATGTGCATATACTTGCACCTATACTGCCTAGAAAAGAAATCAGTAAGTAACATGTCCCCTCACGCGCAAAGCAGGCATTTATGAGAGCTGCTCAAATGCTGCTTCACAACCGAAGCTGTCTATTTATAAGAAGACACCTCAGCAGGAGCAGTGCAGGTTCCCATCATGCCTCTACCTTGGTATCTGGAAAGGATCCATTATGGGGTAAGAAGATAGTTATAATTAAACATTTATACTGAGGTACTGCTGTGCAGGTCGGTTCCACAGTGTGTTAGGTGGCTTTTCAAAACTCAGTAATTGAATGCTGATCCCTGCCCCGAAGAGTTTACAGAGCAGGAAATCAAAGCATAACACTTGGCATCTGCATACCAAGAATTAAACAAAGACCACCACCAGTTCATTTCCTGGGTCTTTGGACTAGGCAGCTCACATAAACATCTATTACCAGAATACTGGAAATTTTTAAATCAGCAGTCTGGACTTTCCTAATCCGTATCTGTGCAGCTCTGTTTGAATTAGTAGCTGGGACAGTAACTACAGCATGCAATTTGCACATGCTGCTGGCATCTTCTTGTCCAGTGTAGATTATTTTTGGCCCAAATACTTTTTAGCAATCATTTGAAAAGACAGCGAGCACACAAACGGAAACATTTACTGCAAGTCAGTTGATTCGGGCCATGCAAGCACCAGAGAGGCTGCCAATGCATGAGGTCGAAAGTCAGGCAACAGCAGATCCTTCTGTCCTGAATCTCCAGGACAACCCCGGGGAGGCATCAGCACATCTCCAATGCAGTGCTAGTAGCCGGTCAGCTCTGGGGCAGAGCATGGCCACGTGCAAGCCTGTGGCCTATGTGGCGTTGCGAAGCCACTAACCCACATCTCTTTCTATGGAGACTCAGTTACGCAAGGGTGCAAATAAAAACTCTGGCCCCAAATACACAGGGGCCATCTCTGTCCCAAATCCATCCTCAGGGAGAATTCTCTACATTCCCCTTTTCCTGCTGGGAAGGACAGGTCTGGGAAGGACAAGTCCTCCTCCTACTAACCAGACTGAATATACTCAAAAAAGCAAAAGAACAACCTCTAGGACTGAAAAAAAGGACACAGCAATGGCCACGCTTGCAATGATGCCCAAAACCTGGATGGAAGAATTTAGTCAAAACAGACTATTATATCACAAATTCCATTTGCTGTTTATCAAACAAGTTCCTAAAACAGATGCACGGACTGTAACTACACCTGCAGGAATTTCAAATACCAAAAAATACAAAGACACTATTAGTATTTCAGTTTTTTAAAGTTTCCTGGCATCTTTCATGCTACGAATTCTCAAGAGCTTTCAGCTGTATACACCCCACATAAAATCTTAGTCCAGAGAAACCTGAAAGAATTTTGCTGTTGTTTCAAATGAAGACATGTTTTCCACTTTTACCTACTATTTAAGTATCTATTGATTTTTTAAACGTGGAACAGCAACTGTAACAGGGCATGATCTGTGTTCACCTTATCTACTTCATCCTTCTGTGAACACCTCAAGTCTCATTTGTTGGCTTTTGAGTATTTAAAATTAGTAACCTTACTTGGTATTTCTAACTTTTTCTTCCTCAAGGGAAAAGAGAAGCATGGAAAATCCTCAGTTACTAGATTTAAAGAGCTTACAAGTTCCAAAAGCTTTGCAAGCAGAGATTGGAAGCTGCTTGAAACTGCAGTTATTGAGGCCACAGAGTTTACAGAATCCACCAGACCCTTCCTGCAGAGTTTATAATCTGCATGGCTTCCTCCCAAGGTAACCGGCATCCACTCTGAGGTACGGATCATTTCCCTCACCCCTAGAAATTCACCCCTGCTTTGGCTGAACATGGTAGCCACTGCAGGCTCAGCAAAAAGACACTGCCATTTTGCAAAAAGGAGGAATGGAGACAGAGGACAGAGAATATTTCTCCCACAAAGTGTAGGCAACACTGATATGAAAAAAAAATTCTTCACTTTTTGAACAAAACCAGTTTCCAACAATAAAGCAAGTTTACACCAGGGAAACAGGGGCACTCTGCTACAGCTATCTTTACCCTTTTACAACATGGACAGTCAGGCTCCTGACAGTCCAGAGAGTGACGGGAAATCGTACCAAGCAGAAAACACACCTATCTGCTGTAAAGGCTGGGAAGTTGCTCCAAGACTTCTTTCAGAAACTAACAATGACCACAGTCTTGAACCTTACTTGGAAATACAGCAGGGTGTACTTAGCAATACCTGGCTGGGCCATCTGATAAGGAAGAACAAACAATACCTGCAGCAGTTGGAAGAACAGACCAAAAGAAATATACTTGACAGCTAAATGCAAGAAGTTACATCTCTGTAGAGAAGCACTTCTTACTGCACTCACAGCTCTTCCCCTGGAAAATACAGTCAAACCTCACAAATGGAATCCCTTAGTAATCCAGCTACAGCTCTTCTACAGCTGGCTTCTATGGCATGTGCTTCCATTTCCTGAACCTTCAGTGTCTTGCTTAGAAAGCAAGCCTCCTTCTGCAGCCCTCCTTCTTCCCACCCAAAAGCATAACGATGGACACACAGCTAAATGTATGAGTTGTGCTGCAAGTTATCCAGCTGAAGACCAATTCAGGATACCTCAATGCTTTTTGGGAGAAGGAGGGGATGAAGCAGGTGAGCACATGCACAAGACACCACTGACACCCGGTGTATTTCCTCAATACACTGGCAACTGCATCAACATCAGAAAAAGACTTAGCTTTTTCTCATGTTCTCAAAACACAAAGAGCAATGAGATGTGATGAACTTAATTTAATGAAGAAAATACACTTTGTGTAGCAAAAACAGGAACTTAAACTAGGCTCTTTCCCGTACCCAAAAATGAGAGTGGTCCAAATTAACAAGGAAGTAGTGCTGTGTATTGGTGCAAAATCCAAAGCAGCTCTCCCTTGTCCAAACTCTAATGTTACCAGTGTGAAGAAGTCCAGCCTGAACACAGCAGTGGAATTTACTGCTGTGATGCAAGAGCTCTGAGCAAAGCACTCCCAGGTACCGATACACCTTAACATTGACATCACCTGCTGTATGAAACAGCACTAATAAGGGCTCCAGTTAAAGCCAGCTAATCACACACAATAAAAGCAAAGGACAGCTACACTTCAATGTGAACATTTTGTTCCTCTCATCCTCAGACAGGAAGCACATACCTAAATTAACTAAAAAAAGTTTGTCAAAGGCTGATCATCCTCCATTTTCAAAGGACAGATGATGCAAGCCCCCATTCCTAAAACACCTACGGGTACATTTGTGCTGTTTCAAGAAAGCACATGCTAACACCTGTTAAAGTATCTACCAGGAGATGCCAAGTGGAGAAGTTCTACATGTATGAGAGGCTGGCAATTCCACTATTAATCGTAAAATATCTTTCTCTTTTAGAACCAAATTAACAAGTCACTTGGTACATCAGCACAGAAAATTTCCAAGATGCTTAACACGTTTTTTATCCAGAGTGACTTGAAAGTCTAAATTCCATTTTTCAAAGCGGACAGAAATTACACTGGGAAGTCACTTGGACGTTGTGTGCAAGCATCTTTCCCACACTTTTTCAGAGCCTCACACAAATAACATCCCTTGTGCAAATGGATCTTCAAAGAAATTTAAGACAGCAGTATGTGGGGATGTCTTCGTCAAAAGGAAAAGGATCTCTCGAAGCTCTGATATTATACAAGTAAATAAGATAAAACAAAAAGCATTTTTACTCAGGAAGTTTAGCTGCAGGAAAACGAATTTGAAAGTTGCATTCCACATGCTTCTGCTGGAAGGCCTGCAAAGGAGACAGGAGAGGTCATCAAGGCCTGAAAGGCCTCCCTCTCTAATGGTCCTTGGAATACCTGTTTTAGCTCAGAAGCCTAACAATGCCCTGGGGGATTTTGACAGTTTTTCTTTTCCCTTGCTGTAACACCTCTGTGGATGACTGGGACTCCGCAGATGAATCCTGCTGTTGAAACAGCTGCCTCTCTCTACATCTTTAAAGAGGTATTCAGATTCCCTTAGCCTTACTTAGTTGAATCACTCTGAATAAACAGTCACCACCCATCAACTATGTATTTTTGTAAAGCACCTAGTCAAAGGCAACCACCTTTATTGATTGCTAGGCTGGCCAACCTGAAGGCTGAAATATTATTAGGGAAAAAAAAAAAAAAAAAAGAGCAGGATACACTTGAAGGCCTGTGTTGTTTCTAAAGGAAGCACAGGTCCAGGCGTTGCTCAGTGACATCAGGACGATTCCTCTCTGACTGCAAGAGGCTGCTCTAACAGGTTTCATACCAGCACAGCCACAAGACAAGTATCCCACTGACTCTTCTCCCTTTTGTCCAGGCCCTTTTCCTTGTTCTGACCCTTTTCCACCACAACATGAACAAGCCACCCAACAGGAGCCCAGAGCATATGCCCCAGCTGGCAATTATTTCTACTTTCAACATTTCATAATAAAGCATTAGCACAAGCTCTAAATAAGTTCTGTCACCCTGCTCCAAGTAAAATGCTGAAGGAAGGAGGGTGAGATGCTGTGGTACTGCTGCCTCAGAAGTTTGTACTCTTTTAAGTCACTGGCCCTCAAGTGTTGCTATTCAAAACAGAGTGGTATAGGGTGAGGTGGAGGGAACACCTTCAGGTGGGAAAAACATCACTGGCAGACATCAAAGATAAGCCATCATCAGATTTCTTGCACCAAAGAAGAACAAAGAGTCAATGCTCCTGCAATTCCTGTTCAGAAGTACCCCAGAACAGAGCCAGCACTTCCCACCTCAGCCAACCTCACCTATGTTCATTTGTAATCAAACGCTGATAGCCAAACCTGGCCTGGCAAAGCTCTGCAAGTTTCAAGCCCATGCTGGCTCCATACAAATACCTTAACTTTTCAGTGTATCACCAGAGAGTGACATTCCCAAAAATACCCAAGTCCTGCCTTTGAAATCACTGCCTGTAAAGATTATTCTAAATGTGTGTGGGGGAGAGGGGGAAGCCACAGCTCCCACAGGTGCTGGTTTATGTAGGGTATTAAAAAGAAAGCAACAAACAAGCAAACAAAATAAAACAATGCACACAGAGAAAGGATTCCTCATATGCCTCCCCAGAGAAAATCTGCTTTGACTGCTGAACAACAACTAGTCAAGTTAAACCTCCAACCCCAGAGCAAGAAAAAAGCTGTTGCACTGTCTCAGAAGGCAATTCCTTCTCACCCTCAAAGTTTACATCTGCTCCTTAAAAGACTTTCCAGCAAAGCTGCAGGGTACCTGAGCACTCCATCCGCGATAAAGCTGTTCTCAAAAGAACATGAAGCAGTTTCTGGCCCTTTTCCAAGTTGTAGAATGCTGCTGAAAAGGTATATTTTAAAGCTGTAACCCTATGACTGTCCATCTTGCTCAAATTCAGAAAGGAGGCAGAAGACAGAGAGCAACAAGCATTCTCACTACCTTCAGGAGAATAAAAAGCAGCACTGCCATCTTCCTCTACAGACAATTACCTCCTAAGAAAGAAGCTACCACACCAACAAGGCAGCCGTCACAAACTGGTCTAGTAACACGGTCCAATAATACACTCATTTCAAAACAACCTTTATCGTGCTGAAAGAGGAAGACATGATTTCACATGTTTTAAGAGTGTACACCTAAAACAGAGATTTCCAAACTCAGGCATCATTCATCAAAAAGTTAAAAGGGGCTTTTTACACACATGCATAGATTTCAGACTAACAGGATTTACTTGTTTTCTGCCTGTTCCTGGGGAACTTCTGCAGTTTCTTTTTTCCCAAGACTGTCCCTACAGGCTGCTATCCAACATACATCAGATGCTCCCGGAGCAACAGATAACCCTGGAAGGACATTTACAAAGGGCACAAATGGAGGGCCCGATGTTAATAAAATTTAGGCATACTGGGGGAAGGTAGAATTACTCCTGTATGTAGGTAATTTGAAGATTTGACACAGTACCCTGGAAAGCTTTACTTATGCATCTAAGCAATTTTTTTTCTGGTGTCTTACTAGCAAAAGGTGTATTTTAAGCCAATTAAAAATTACTGCAACTTAAAAAGTGAATCCTTTTCAAAAACACTCAGGTTAATTTTAGCATCCTTCTGTTTAGCTGCTTAGCAACACTTATCCTATGACCTTCTAAGCACCACCTACTTTTACAAGGGATAATGAATATAACCAAAGGGATTTATCTATATGTTTTTAATCTATACAGTGTAAGTGCATCACCAATTTTAATTTAAATGAGAAAGCAAATCCAACTGAGAGAATTCAAACCTTTTCTGTTTAAGAAGAAAGTTTCACAGACTAAAGTCAAGCTACTGTTATGACTGTAGTGTTACTTCAACATAGGCAAAGTGATATCCTTAAGGAGTGAGGAAAGCACTACAGAGGTAAATGTTTGTACACTTTGGAAACACCGCACTTATCTTTGGTACCAAAAGAGATCACACATACTACTGACAGGTAATGAAGAGATTCAGTTTTCCCAGTTTTGAAACTTGAAGTTACTTCCCAATCCTCAATCAAAAAGAAAAGCCATTTTGTCAGAGGATCACTGAATACTGTAAAGAGTTAAGAATGGGATCACAACCTCAGTGAACTAAGTCAGAGTAAGATGCTTCATTACACTGAAATCTGCAAGTGAAGCTTCAAACACTCAGATTCCATGTGGGGGGAAAAAAAACCCAACCAAAACCAGTCAACAGCCTGCTATATAAGCCAAATATATATATTTTTTTTCTTTAGCATTGTTAGTTCTCCAAAGAAATGTGTATACAGTCACTTCTGATAGACAAACAACAATTTAACAACTAGAAGCTGTGAAATGAAAGGAGAATAAAAGTTTACTCAATTGCACTTAAAGGATGATGTTTTTCCAACTACATGAATTCAGTTGCAAATACAGATGCCAGAAGGAGGAAGGTGAGGGAGCAAAAGAGGCCACACTCGGTCAGGAACAGCTGCCCTGCAGCATGAGAGACTGGATGCGTCCCTGCCGGCAGGTGAGGGAGAGCCCTGGTACTCTGATTGATTGGATGATGGATTCATGCTGTTTCTGGGTTTCTAACAAACAAAAGGGCCTATTCTTTCCTGGATGTACCCAACTCCAGTTAAGGCTAATCGGCATTATGCAGGCACACCAAGAAAAGACTATATACCCTTAAGTCTTCAAAGAGAAAATTAAAACCTAAAACAAATATGGCTGGCCTGACCCTGAGTCACTGCATCCCTTTCACGCACGCTGACCCTGTGGAAAACAGGAACTGCGGTAACAAAACTCAGTGCTTGTGTCAAAACGACCGACCTCAACGAAAAAACTTCAGCCATCATAACAGCTGTCTACTGTGCACTGTAGGGGTGACAACACGGCGTTATTCAGCAACTGCTCCTGTTGCTAGTAAGCAATTTCTTTTCCAAGGCAAGGGGCTGGATGTTGGAATGGTAGGAAACATCCACTGCACTCACTGTCTCTCCTAGACCACTGCCCCCAAATCACACTGAACTAGATGTTTACTTTCTCAAATAAGTAAATACACTTGATCTTATCTCCAAGAGAAAACAGGCGAAAGAGGGAGTTGGGATTAAAACTGAATGGTTGGTATCACCACCCCCACCCCCCGCCTTCCCTCCAGCAATAAGCCCGGTGGCTCCCGGGCAGGATGCTGGCTCCTCGGCGAGCAGGACCAGAGCATCAGCTGCGGGCCGGACAGGGCGGCGCGGCCGTGGGAGGGCGGCGGGGCACGGAGGCGCCCGGGCCTCCGCGGGGTGCGCAGCCGAGCACAGCGGCCCGAGCAGGGAAATGTGCTGAGCCAGGAGAAGCGCTCTCCTCCTTCTGCGCAACCCCGAGAGGATGCCGAGCAGGCGAAGACATCGCAGCCGAGAGGTGCAAGGGGGAAAATTATTTAAAAACGAAAAAAGAAAAAGAAGAAACCCAGGAGTGCGTGCGGAGGGAGGCGGGGAAGAAGTGCGGGGAGAAGAAGCCAAAGGAAACTTATCTGCGACATGACAAAGTTCAATCCACCGCCCTCCCTCCTCTGGTGAAAAAAAAAAAAAAAAAAAAAAAAAGAAACAGCATCTCGGCGCGCCCCTCTCCCCGCCCGGCCCGGCTCGGCCCGCGACCCCCGCGCCCCCTCACCCTGGGCGGATGGGGCGGGGGGATGCCGAGCCCGAGTGCTACGAACTGGGCAGGAGGAGCTGCCTCGCATCCTCAGCGCGGCCCCCGCGGCGCCGCCGGGGGTGTCCGGCCCGTAGCAACGGCGATGGGGAGGGAGAGCAGTCGCCCAGAGACGGGGCTCGGCCGGCTCCCATCCGCACCGGGCACCGCCGGGGGGGCGGCAGCCGCGCCGCCCCAAACTTTGTTTTCACCTCAGACACCGCCACTGCGGGACCGGGGTCACTTCTGCCTCGCCGCTCCCCCACCACGCCAAGATGGGGCTGAAGGGGGCAAGGGCCCGGACACCCCTCCTCAGCTTCGGATGCTGCCCGGCTCCTTCCTGTAGTGGTGACGCCGCCCAGGCGTCCCTGCCCGCCGCTGGCCCCGCCGCGTAGGGATGTGTTCCTGGCACCGCACAAAGGCAGCGGGACGGGGGGGACCCACGGGGGGCAGCGCCCCCCGCCCTCCCCGGGCACGGCTCCCCCCGCCCCCGCCGCGCAGGCCGGGAGGGGAAAGGACACGCACGTCCCTACCGGGACGGGGGGGAGGAAGGCGGGGGGGCGGGTGGAGAAAGTGGAGGAAAGGCGAAAAAAATCAAATAAAGTAAGGAAGAAGGGTAGAGAAGAGAGGAGAGAGGTACCAGGGTGCCGAGGAAAGGCAGGCGCGGCCGTCCGGCCCTGCCGGGGGAGCGGAAAGTCAGCGAGAGATGCGCGGCGCAAGCCGGCTCTACCTGCGGAGAAGGGGCGCCTTCATCCCAACTTCCCAGCTCCGGCGCGGCCCTCCCAGCCGGGAACAGCGGGCAGCGGCCGCCGCGGGACCCACCGCCACCGCCGGCAGGAAAATAAGCCCGAAGGAAAAGTTAAAAGGCGAGCTCGGGAGACGGGGGCGAGCCGGGCTAGAAGATGTTGCTTCCTCGCAGCCCCATCCAAATTGTGGCGGTGGCTGGTTAAAAATAAACTTTGCAGCAGGAGGGGGGGGATGATCTGGCCGGATTCCTGAGCTCAGACGGTTTAATATGGATGAGCATCAGGTCCTGAAGGCAAAACGCCGCGGCTGGTGCCGCTGGTTGGTAGAAAGTCTGCAACAGGGAAGGAAAAAAAAAAAAAAAAAAAAAAAACAGGAGCCGGAGAGGGAGGAGAGGAGAGGGAGGAGCGGGGGAAGGGAAGAGGGAGGCTGCACGAACTCATCATCATCTCCACCGCTGCCAGCCAAACTTTTTTCCTCCTTTTTTTTTTTTTTAAAAGGAAACTTTTTCCTCCCCTCTAACAAGCATTTCATTTTTTAAATAAGTCGCACGACCAGCCGACACGCTGCAACGTCCTCACCCCCGCGCCTGCCCCCTCCCCGAAATTTATTTTTCCTCATCTTTCTTTCTGCACCCCCCCTTAAGAAAAAGAAAGAAGAGGGAAAAAAAAAAAAATAGATCCCTCCGAAGTTAAGGCACGCTCCTGTCCTTTGTGAGGGAGCGCGGTGGCCGGGCAGCCCCGCGGTACTTACGCCGGACTTTGCTGGGGCTGGGCTGCTTGCGCCGCGACATGCCGGGAGGATGGGCCGCCGGGGGGGCGCGGGGGCGCGCCGGGGGGAGCGCGCACGGGAGGGAGCCGCAAACTTGTTCCGGAAAAAGGAATCAAAATGGCGTTTCTGTGGATGTGCAAAGTTCATCAACTCCGCTCTAACTTCCCGTCCTCCGCGCCTCCCTGGAGGGGAGAGATGGGCACGGTTAGGGACCCCGCCGCGCCGCGCTCCGCGGGCGCCCCCGCCCCCTGCCCGCCCCCGCGCTGCCCCGCGCACCCTGATAAGGAGACACATCACGTGTCGCTCCGGCTCCTCTCCCGGGGACGCGCTACCGCGGCAGCAGCAGCAGCAGCCTGTTGCAAATAGCATCTCTAACTCGCCCTCGTCGCGGGGAGGGAGGGGCGCCTCCAAGGAGAGGAGTGAGCACAACTTTCCCCCCCCCACCCTTCCTCCGTCCCTCCCTTCTCCGCCCGGCAGCGCAGCAGCGGGATGCCCGGGGCAGGCGCGGGGGGAGCGGGGGGGCGGCCAGGTGCCACGCGGCGCCCCGCGCCCTCCCGCTGCCCCGGCGGCCGCGCCCGCGGGGCTCTCCCGGGCGGGCCTGGCCGGCCGCGCTCCCGGCCCGGCGTGCGTGTCCCCCGGCAGCCCGGCCCCTCTCCCGGGTCGGGGCTGGAGCGCATCCGCAGCCGCCGGTGGCCGTGCTGCGCCGCCGGCTTTAAGGAATTCACCGGGGCTCTGCGCTGCCGTGGAAATGTCTGTGCATCCTCCTCCGCCTCCCAGCCCGGTGCCTCACCAGGTACAGCGGCCGCACGCAGCAGCCCGCTGCTCCGCGGGCAGGAGTCAGCTCCTGGTTGTGTGTGTTTGTTTCCTCAGAAACTTTTCGTCCCCTTGCGCGATTTGGGTCCCTGCAGGGGTCAGTCATCCATCCAGACCTAAAGGACACGTTAAATTTAACAGGATCGTGAACATCAGCACAGGAACAGGAGGTGCAAATGCTCTGTCTAATCAAAGGCGAGATGCAGTTGCTTGCATGTACAGGTAGTTACACTGCACGGCCATCTTTCCCTTCACTTCCCCTGCAGTAGAAGTGCAAAGGTGTAGGAGACTCAACAAGTGATGGAGAGGTGTTCAGAGTGGTGAGGATTTCACTCTGTAAAGCCAGTGTCGGTCTAGAGTTGTGTGACAAATAGGAACAGTACATAAAAACAAAATACCTGGCAATACTCCATCCTGAAAGCTCGATGGGAAAAAAAGAAAAGTAAACCAACACTGCTTCGGAGGAGTGCCTAACGAGTATAGGAGGAACCAGTTTACCTTTAAGGAAATGGTTATTTGCACTATATCTGGAGCTACTAAAGCTAGGCCTTTTAAAGCTGTTATTGGTGAGATTGAACCTGGAGTCTCTGCCTGTTTTTTCAAGAAATCAAGTCATGGCCTCTAGGCAAAAGGCTTGTGCCAGCCTACATGGTATCATATCTCCTGATTGAAAAGGGATTCACATAGAAAAGAAGGCTAAATTCTAGGTATGTGGTATAAGCCCTCAACTGACTCTTTTCACAGTCTTGCATGTAAGATGTCATGATTAACTTCATCTGCACCATTTTTTCAAATACTAGATAACGACATACAAGTCAGGAATACACAGGTCCTGTCTCAAAGACATGAGCTGTGATTCATATCAGGAATAAACCTCTTCCCTTCTGCACTCCTAAATAAAACACCTGCAGGTCTGATGAACTGGAACTTGGAAACACCACAACTGCAAAACCGAAAGGTAGCACACGTGTATTCAGAACATGAAACTGCAGCTTTAACCTGTGTATGTTTGTTGTGGTGGTTTCTGCAGGCTGCATTTTTGTCACCTGTGTTCTGTACTGAGTTCTGTGCAGTGCTATCCAAGCGGAGTTGCTGACTGACACAGGAGAGATATCATAGTTAATCCCACAATATTAGTAACAAACAGGAGAAGGCACATTCTCATTGTTCTAAGGTTCTCATTTAACCAAAAACCAGTAAAGGGAAGTCATTAAAAATAAACTGCTAGCAAAGTGTCTTTAACCTTTTCATCTCTGTTCCCATTGTACCTGCCAACCTGCAGTGGCAGAACTGCTGTTAGGTTCAGCAGCTTTACAGCCAGCTTGCATCTTCAGTATCTCTTGTGGTCAGGCATCCAATTAATCAAAAACCTGAGCAGTTTATCCATCTCAGGCTCAGCCCTTGAAGCTTTCTATTTACATTGGAAGACTGCTGTGATTTAAGCCTTCATGGCACACTTACAAACTCACGGAGACTGGGCCTGGTTTGCACAGCAATTTATTTACACAAATGGCTGCAATTGAAACTGGTGAAAATTCCTGTATGGGTAATCATATTTGGAGGTTAGCAATGCATGTCTCATTGACCTCTACCTAATATTTCTAGAATAGTCTTGGAGGCATTTTGGACTACCTTAAGATTCCCATCCTCAATGTATTTTTTAAACTTGGAGGTGCTTAAGAGCCCTTTGATGTGGGAAATTTAGCAAGCAGATAGATGGAATAAAGTAACAAGTGTTTCTCAATTCAGTATCTGAAATCTGCTCTAGAAAGGTGGACATGTAAAACTCAAATTGCAAAAAAATCATTATTTTAGTGTTCGGAGAAAATAAACAGATAGTTTTTTATAGCATTTCTCCTTATTCTTTCAGAAAGATGGAATGAAGGATGAACCAGTACATACTGTGTTACATTAATACTAAAAATTAAAAAAAAAAAAACAAACCAAAAAACAAACCCAAAAACCCCGACAATGAAAAAAAATTATGTAATAACTTAAAACCTCCATTAACTACTAGCATTTATTAAATAGTAAAAAGTCGTACGTCCTTTAACAGTTAAGGAATTTATTCTAATTCTGAGCTATTGGTGGGCAAGAGAAATGAAATAATTCAGTTTTTCAGCCTTCTGTCATTTAAATTTTTATAATGCATCAGAGAGGTAAAAAACCACTCTGGTCTAGTACTGAATGTGAAGTTTTGAGCGACTGGTTCCTTTTTTAAATTACTTATTACAGTGAAGGAGAAGGTAGAGGTAATTTCTGTCTAATAAACCCCACTTTTATGAATGACTCTCCCAAAATGTTACTACATGACTTATATGTGATACAGGTATCCTCTTCACTCTGCACTTTTTACCGTTTGCATAACTGTGGTTTATCTCATCTCCTCTGACCACTCTATGACAAGATAAACAATAATTCTTTTTTTTCTCCTAGGACTATCCATATTTTCTATACTTCCTGGATATTGGGACATGAATACCCACAGTGATCGTAGACCACACGAAGGAGCAAAAAGACTCTCAAGCTTCTATGTAACCCTCACACACCTCTCTGATCCTTCACAGTGATGCTAAATACAATGAACAATAGCAGAAATAAAAACAATAGTTTTGTGGAGGTGTTTAGAATGTTATCAAACTCATTGACACCACTGGGTGACACAGCAATGTTGGTGACAAAAGCCACCTGCTGTGGTCCCAAGAAAAGGACAACTCGGCCCCCACCCACAATTCAAATGTCAGAGATGCTGATTAAAGGTAATTCAAGGAGAGAAGAAAAACAGGATGTATAGCTTATATGAAGGCCACAACTTGAGTATGTCTTAAAGCACAGAGACTAAAGCTAACATTATCATTAAGAGAGAAGTTAAAGGTTAGCTAGAAAAATCTTTTTTCCCCCTTCTTACGAGATATTTTCAACATTCTCTGGTTTAGATCATGGTATTTAGAAGTTACTGTAATTTCTTGCAAATCTACACATCCCTTTCAGCCAAAGCAGCTAGGAGTAAGGCAGTTCTCTGACTAACCAGGAGTATTTTATATGCTAAGAGGCAGGACTGGGCCCTGACTTTAAAACAGCAGCTGCCAAGCCCGAGCTCCCTCACCCTGATGTGTGGATATCCAGCCACAGAGGATGTCAGAGGCATCTGAGGCCTCATGCCCTGCCTGAGCTTGTGCCTGCTCAACATCCGGAGTCCTCTTGCTGCCATCCTTTTCCTGATGTCCTCACTTGTGCCAAGAGGGAGAACTCGGCTGACATACTAACACAGGCAAAAGCCTGCTTTGAGGATCAGAGAATACAGCCCTGATGGCTTTGAGAAATAAGTCTTTATAAAGCCTAAGACCGAAAGAAATACTTGAATTTCCTTTATGTTTCAACCAGTTATTTCCTTAAATGAACAAACATGCCATTGCTGAGTCTTCTCAGGGGTTGAGGATTTTTTTTTTTGCTTAGAGTGTTTTTTCTCCAACAGAGACACAGGTTTCTTGGGTCAAAAACCCCTTAGAACTAATGCAGAACTGACGAATATGACCACCATAGAGGCAGGGTAATTATACGAAGTAAAATGGAGAAAGTTCAATTAAATATATTTCCTATAAATTGCTTGGAAAATTTGAGGAATTTGTGCACAGGAAAACCACACGGAAGAGCATAATACATGAGCTGCAAACTCTCTCAGAGCATTTGTCTGAGGACACAGCATTCTACAGCATTCCCATTTTCCCCATACAGGGAAATGTGATGCACCACCATGCTCAGCTACCCTGCCCTCTGGAAATTGGGCAGTTGGGAAACAAGGGAGTGGTGGAACTTGCTCCTGCAGCAACCCCACTCACTATATCCAAGGGCAGCTTTGGATGAGCTAGGCCAAAGCTTCAGTCCAAATCTTAACATTGGCCTTTACAGAGTAAAAGAAAAGCTGATGTATCTCAGCATGCTTAAGCACTTTCCCTCACATCCCAGGCTGGTGGAAGTCTGGAATTAAAACCAGTATTTCCCCCAAAATCCTGGTATACTTCTCCAGGCACAAAGCTATCCACTCTGCTGGGTGACTCTTCTCAGCAGAATGTTAGTGATAACAAACAGCAAAAGTAAAAGATCAAGTGTAAGTGTTCACTCCCTGTTTGCTCTGAGACATTTCAACAGCGCAAAACAGTCCTTGAGCTGATTCACCTAGCCAGCCAAGACTACCTCTTGGCTAAGGATTCATATGGAAATATGAAGATAGTGTTTCTGAAACCCACACCACTTTTTTTTTTTTTTCCCCCATAGATCATAGCCTGTAGGGCATATTGCAGGACTGCTTGAAGTTTCTGGCTGCTGTAATTGCTGGTCCCATCTCCTTCTCTCTTTTCACTGTGGGAGATGGATGCAGTGCAGAGCAGCCCTGCTGCTGGGACTGGACCAGCTTGATGAACTAGTCCCTTTCCCCAGCTCTAATTTTCAGGATGTAAAAGGTAGCATAAAATACTCACCTAAACTATTGTAACAATAACCAGTGTTTGTAAACCCTTTCAGGGGAAGTTCACCAACCTAAACCTATTCTTTCAGGATATACAGTCATACATATAGAGAATGGTTAAAAGGATCATCAACTGACATATCTTTCAGTCTTATAATTAAAACAAACAACAGAGGTACAAGAGTGTTATTACAGTTTTAGTAAAAAAAATATTTAAAGAGGAGTATTAAAAATAGTATGTTTTAAATTAATAAAAACTAAATAAGTTTCCCTCCTGCATATTTAATTATTTAGCAAATTTTGGAGCAGCACAGCCTACTTCTTCCTCAATAGGCTGTTTAAAAACATAGCATGAAAAGCTAGTGGGCAGATGTTTGACTTTTACATTCTCAAGCAGTTCTGTGATCACGAATGTAGAGCATCAGAAACAGGTTGTATAATTCATGTGCAAGTGTGTCTTTGTAGAGATGAAGCAGGTAAAAGAACAATAAGCAAAACCACTCACTGTAATACTTTCACTTGTTTTAAAACTCTGCATTGTTGCCCAGAAACCTTTGTTGCCTAGCAATGCAAAAAAACACAGGTGTGCAAAAAGAAGTCAGTGTTTAATGCCCAGCTTGTGATTTGGTACTGATATGTTTCATTCTTATTGACCACCCAGCCTCTCACACCTAATTGACTGTTAGCTTAAATGTGATTATTTTCCCTCCTGAAGGCAAGTAGTAAGCCAGCTGTGTGTTTCCTTGTGTGTCATTTGCTAGGGAGAGTGGGTTCTGAAACCTCCCACAATCAAAATAAATGCTCATGTTAACAGAGACTTCATGTTCAGTTGTTCAAAGAGTTGCAGTAGCACCAGAGGAGACAGTGGCAGCTAAAGGAAGGTGTCAATATCCAGTTGAAGAAGCATCACTTATGTTTTGGCATCATAGACCAGAGATGGAAAACACCTGCTATCCATTCTCTGAGGCTGGCACAGTATTTCTCTGTGCAGTACACTTTTCAGTACTGTCTTGGTTTAGGTTTAAGTATCCTCAGTTATGGAGGATTCAACAGTTTCTGTCGGGAGCTTGGGCTGTACCCTTGCTGATTTTGCTGTTAGGATGTTTCTCTTGATTTTTCGAGCCGGCATTTCTATTTTCTTACCTTCAGGCCACAGCTGTAATTATAGCTTACAGAATGCAAATAGAAAAGGGGATGGGGAAGAAGGAAACCCTCATCCCAGGGAGAAGATGGTAGGCAGTGCTTTGAGAGGCACCCACAAAGCAGCAGAGAAGTGAAGAAATAGGAAGTGAGGCAGCAGTCATGAAGAAAGTACACAAGGAAGCAGTTACCCTGCAGGGAAGGAAAAAGCAGGACAACTTTCAAGGGCAGAGATTAATGTAACTTGGGGGATGCTGCAGTGGCAGGATTTGGGGAAGAAGAGACAAGAACCTAATTACCAGGAAAAAATGGCCAATGGATGCAGTAGGCAAAGAATCAAGGAGGAGGCAGAAGAAAATGGTGGGGCTCAGGTTAATGAGTGTGAAAAGAGTCTTATACTTTTGTGCCTGTTAAATTGTGCTTTGTGCCTCCTTAAATAAGAAGCAAAATTGCACTGAGTCAGGTCTATGACATAAAGTTCTGCAGGCATATTTACACTGGTCAGATGTGCAAAGGGATATGGTTTGCAACTGAGGTTAAAACCGAGCTGTGCTACCAAAAGCAGTGAATGTTCAGAGTTACACAGTCAGAACCATACTTTCACCAGCGCAGCTCGTGTCATTCAGACAATGATAAGATAAGCCATGCTGGCAAAAGCACAGTTTTGCTGTTGTAAATTGTATTGGGGGTAGTTATGCCTCTGCTGCAGCTTATAGGGCTGTAACTACACCAGGAGAGCTCTTTGCTTGTCAAAACAGCCATGCTCTATCCACAGATTGTCCATAATGGACACATGATTAAGAGAGGTAAGGTAGGTTCTTCTACTGACATGACTTCCACAACCACAGCAAAAGCTCAGCACAAGGATTTTCTTGGCAGAAGAAGATAGCTGTTTAGACCAGAGGGGTGTAAGATACAGACATATTTTAGATAACTTCTGCAACTTTCATACAGGAAAGTATTTGCTTCTACAAAAAGAGAACTCAGTAATTGCAAAGTGTCTGAACTTAGGGCAATGTGGATAAGACCATTTAAGTCCTTTTACCTTTATCATTCAGCATTCACTTTTAAATAAAAGATTCTTAACAAGAAAGTGTTCTCAATAAATTTTTCTGCATTCCTGTCTTCAACTTGAATAACAGATAATATGCTCCATAATCTTCTTTCCTTCTGTGCAATACAAAGAAGGTGGAACTTCTCTTAATGAGCATATAGGGAGGAAAGATTTGGTAAATATATAGACTTCTCTTTTTTTTGTTTGTTTTGTTTTGTTTTGTTTTCAATTACTTTAGTGGTCAGGAGGGACTGTACTCTAACTGAGATGAAACTTGAAAAGTAAAAAAACCCTAAACCGCTATTATCAAAATGAGCACAAGAGAGCTGTTACCTGAAATGATTCACCATATGGAAATCTTAACTCTTGAAACAAATGATTTCTAAGAACAGGGCACACACATCAGCCTCTTCCTCAAAAGAACTCCAAGTAACTAGAGAGGGCAGAAGACATTTAAACTCCCAATTTTCAGCTTGCAATCAGTGTTCACAGCAAAGGATTAAATCTCTTGGGATTAATGTCTATGAAAGTATCCTGAAATCCCAACAGTAATGCAAATTTTTTCCTGCACCCTTTTATGAAGTGGTAATAGACTGCTGTGGCTCTCTAAACTCAGCAGAGAAATAATCTTCTAACTTACAAATTTTGACTAAATGGCAACTGCAAATAAGATATTCTCTAATAATTTCCTGAACAAGCTCATGTACTCATTTCACATACTCCTTCTGAGCCTGTTTCATTATGCTGTTTTCCACTACGTCCTTTCCCTTGCAGAAGTGGCTGAAGGTAGTTCTTAGAGTGCAAATGAGCAGCCTGAAAAATTCAGCAAAATTATTTTTAAAATTATTAAATGCAAAGAAACAAACAAAAAACATCCCAAAACCCCCCCAAAACCCCAAACAAACAAAAACTCCAAAACCAAACCAAGCCAAACCAAACCAAACCAAAAAAAACCCAAGA